TCATTAAGTTTTGTAAAAACCCTTCGAAAAAGCATACAACCCTTAAGACGTGTCGTCCATCCTAAGAAGTTACACATATTAACTACAATAAGCCAGCACCAATTTCAAGGATAACCCTCCTTCAAAATCGCATCAAATTACTTCTCTAAATATCATAATGGTGGCCAATCGTAAAGACAATTAGATAGTTAATACCGGTGATTAATAATTCAAAACCTGCATGCATAATATCACAAGTAAATTGAAAAGAAACTACATATTCTTGCTAAGGCTCGTGGCCTCGCCCTAGCAAACGAAATTAGTTACGAACAATCATAAAATAAAATCTTATTAAAAACATGGATAGAAAACAACTTGAAAATAAACTTGAATCCTCAAAAGCTCCAAAGTAGTGCATGTTCTCCTCCCAAAGTAATACGCTCCTCTGTCTCTCTAATGGCTAAATAGCCTTATTTCTAATACTAGAAAATAAAACTCAACCTAGAAAAGGTCTTCTAAAAACTAGGAAACATAATAGAATAAGATAACTAGGAAATCATTCCTATTCTCACTTTGGGAAATCTGCTCAGCCACAAATCAGCCATGTTTTTAGATCTTCAGGGCTATAAAATAGGCCCAAAATGGCTAGAATTAAAGCTTGAGATGTCCCAAACATAATTGTAGAACATCTCGAAACCAAAAGACATCATCTTGGATGCCAAAAAGCCCATATAAACCAAAAATGTCTTTTTGACAGCACTACGTTCTGCTCCTTTATTTCATTGCCAAAAATAAACTGCTTGGTAGAAAAATCTGAAACTTTGATACAAACAAGTTGAAAGACACACGAACATCCTCCAATTGGAATCACTCCAAAATTCATCAATTTGTCACTTTTTGCTTAAGAGAAACTCGAATGTTTTACATTGAAAATACATAACAAAATATAAAAGTTCTACCAAAATAACTAATAAATTATAACTAAAATTAAGATAAAATATAGTATAATATCGACTGTGCAATAGTCAATTTGAGATTCAATGCAAACAGTCATTCGAAGGAACAGAGCATAGACCCTTTACTTTATCTATTATATATAAAGAGAATAGAAAAGGAGTATAGTGATTTGGTGTCACCATGCTTCAACAAAAATATATGGACAAAAATACCCCCAAAACAAAAAACTTCAAAGGCATTCCAAAATAATACATCAAATAAGGTAGGGGCATTTTCGTCATTTTAACAGTATTTATTTAATAATTTAATTTTTGGTGCCTTTTTTTTTTTTAAATTAGTACCTCACAATAAGCTAGCAATAATGTGATTCAATTTCTTTATTTTTAAACACGTTCAAAACATCTTAAGAGGCGTGTAATGCCGGTTATAAAAAATGTTTTTCGCACGCGGATAATAATGTGATTAAATAAGTTATCAAATGATTATTTTTTAAACAAACGATATTATCTACACTACGGGAGAGGGGGTGGGCTTAGCCTCACAATAAGTTAGCAATAATGTGATTCAATTAGTTATTTATTAAATATTATTTTCTCTATTTTTAAACACGTTTAAAACACATTAAGAGGCGTCTAATGCCGGTTATAAAAAAAAAGGTCTTTTGAACACGGATAATAATGTGATTAAATTAATTGTCAAATAATTTTTTTTTAAATAAACTATATTGTCTATACTAAGGGGGAGGGAGTGGGCTTAGCCTCACAATAGGCTAACAATAGTATGATTCAATCAATTGTTTATTAAATATTATTTTATCTATTCTTAATGTAAATTCTATAGAGATCGATTTATTATTATGACAGATTTCTTTCTAGCATGATATAAAATTATTCATTTACTTCAAATATTTGACTTTCCTTTTGTCAATTTACACATATAAATACATTTAAAACATATAAATCTCGACTAGCACGTCGTGATTCATAAAATGTCTTCTGCACATGCGTGAGCGCATACATGAAGGTTAGTATTAGTAAAGCACCTGCTCCTAATGGCTTAAGCCGATATTCCCATTTTCTCGTCGACCCATGATGCAAAAGGTAGGCTGTTAGAGTGAACGCTGAATTTCAAAGGATTCCTTGTATGCATTTAGTTATTTCAAATTCGTTTCAAAATATAGTCTTTTATATATTGCATGTCGTCCGTTTAAATTATTACACTAGTGTTTCTAGATTGTTCAGAAACATTCAATAAGAACTTTTCTAGCAGTTTTTACAACAAATTAATTTCCATCATGTGGAGCCTGTGGTGTTCACTAATAACAGTAATTTTTTCAAAAATAAAATAATTTTTAAACAACCCTCTCATTTGACATGTATGGTCGTGGACTCGTGGCATTTACCTGTGGACGAAAATTGTGTGTACAACTGTAACATTTTGTTGAATTTTTGCATGGTTTCCCCACACTTCTACACCCCCTCCCTTCAATGTAATTGGTCAACTGACTTTGACTATAACTTACCTTCCTATTTATGTCTTTTCCCTTACACTATGTTTGAAATCTTGGATAAAAAAAATAAACTTGGAATTTTGACCAAAATCAGAATTTATAAATTGACATGCACCAATTCCATTATTTAGATTCATAAACATAGAAATTTAGAATTTCCACATGAAAAAAAAACTTGGAATTTGGGACCTCCAATTCCCAAGTTTAAATTCCAAATAAATAGATGTCATTTCTAAACTTCTACGATTGAGAGTTTAAAACTAACAAATTCCATATTGAATTTCTATTGTTCTTTTAAGTTAGCCAAACAAAAAAATTCACAAATTCTAGAAATAAAATTCCGTTATTTTAAAAGTCCTTAGTAATTTTAAATTTCCCCATTCTAACAAAGTGTAAAATATTAACAAAGGTAAATAAAAAAAAAAGGGGTTTTTGAACTTTAATCCTTCAAGAAGATTAAAATTTTAAAAAAAACCTGGTGTTAGATTAAATATTGATTTTAGTCCCTAATGTGTCCTTAATTCAAAATAATTAATGTGCATTTTATTTAATGTCTCCCATTAATATTTAAATTTATTAATACACAAATTTTAATTTATTTTCTGACCAAAAAAGAGTTTTTTAATTTATTAATTTTATTTAACATTCTTCAAATTTGAAAGACTCAATTAATGTACCTAAATGTTAGTATCGAAATGTATGTACCTAAATATATGCACCGAAATGTTTTAATATTAAATTAATGTACCTAAATGTGTGTACCGAAATGTATGCACCGAAATGTTAGTACCGAAAATGTATTATATTGAATTAATGTACCTAAATGTTTGTATCGAAATGTATGTACCGAAATGTGTGTACCTAAATGTATGCACCGAATATATTATAATGAATTTAATATACCTAAATGAAGAATATAAAGTACATCGAAATATATTGTATAACAAAAATTAGTTTATCTAAATGTTCACAACAAAATATATTACGATGAATGAAATGAAAATAAAAATTATAATGAAATAAAATTAATACATTAAAAATTAGAAAGAAAAAGATAAATAATTAAAAATCGAAATATAATTAATAAATGAGGTTATTCATGTATCAAGGGACTAAAATTAGATTTTGATCTTACTCATGGTTTTAATCAAAAAGTCATCTTTGCCAAGGATTAAAATGAAGTTTTCTAAAAAAAAAAAAATATATATATATATATATAGACACAAACTAGTCCTATATGCTAGAAGTTTTCATTTGAACGGGCTATCGAAGTGAAGCAGCTCCTGCTCCAAATTAAATTAATTTGAATAACCACGACTCAAGAGGTTGTGTGCAGAAGTTATCCATTGAAATGAAGGAAAGATTTTTGTTCTTTATCTTTTGATTATTTGGAAGGCTAAACCCCAAGTTCTAAAAGTGAAGGTATTGAAATTGCATAAAGTACAGACGTGAGCGAGATGTGATTGACACTTTCAAACAATCTTGCGGCGTTCGCTTTCAGGGATGTAATGGAATATTTGACCAAAGTGATACCATTTTGGATTCAGCTACATGCTCTTTGGGATTTTCGATGAAGAATGTGAGTGCTCTTATGAATCCAAAAATCATACCAATAAAAATAACAGTATACAAAGATCATGTAGCTGAGTTTATAGGAGTATTTACCTTTGTATTTGATGTCCAAATTTCTTCACCTGGAATAAAACAATATATTAATTGTTAGTTTGAATAATGTGAATGATAGGTTCGATATCAATTAATTTCTCCATCCTAGAGTAAATATATTGGAGAAAATTATAGCAATGGTCATTTAATTTTAACCAAATTGAAGCAATGATCCCCTAATTAAAAATCTATGACTATTGGTCCCTTAACTTGTCAAAACGTGCAGCTATGGTCCTTTTCGTTAACTTCGTCAGAATCCCGTCAAAATAACTCATGTTAAAAGGATCATTGCTACAATTGAATTAAAGTTAAGAGACAATTGCTCTAATTGAGTTAAAGTTGAAGTACCATTTCTTTAATTAGGTTAAAGTTGAGGGATCGTTGGTACAATTTTTTTCCTTTTGGTTTTCCATATTTGTCCCTTGATTCAGCCTCAAGTGTGTGGTATGTGACTCATTTTAACGGAAGTTCTAACGAAGTTGACGAAAAAAACCATAGTCGCACATTTTTTATGAGTTAAGGGATCAGTGATCATAGATTTTTAGTCAAATGACCATTGCTCCAATCATATTAAAGTTGAAAGACTATTGCTACAATTTTCTTTATATATCGAGTATTATAAAAATAATAAAAATAAATAAATAAGAGAGTAGGCAACAAGCGGGGTTTTGGAAAGGCCAAAGTCAAAATCAATGCATGTGACTCAACATTTATGAAGTTCCTCCGAAATAAAGTGTTGTGTGCATTTTGTCTTTTTGTCTAGTTGAATGGTGAGAAGACTGATACCAATCGCTAAAGGGCATTGGAACAATATACATATCAGTGGTTACCGGTTGAAAAGCTTCTCAGCAAGTCCAATCTCTGTCGACCGAATCCGAACGTGCGGAAAGACAATATAAGAACAACATTAATATCGACAAATCAACGCTTCGCTTGATACATTGTGCAAATTTATGTCTATAGGCTTTAACCATGCGTATACAGATTTATTTTATTTGGCAGACACAAGATATGCCTAGTACCGAGCCATTCGGTTTTATTACCAAGAACTTGAGCAGTGATAATATATGTACCTGCTGAAGTAAGAACTTCAACCAAATGGCCTCGACAAGTTACAAGTTTGAGCAGGTAGAAATGCGTAGTACTTAAAGCTTGGCAATGGCAGTTACAGGCAAGTTTGATCTTGCAGGGAGCTTTAAATCTTCCCATCCTTCATCGTCCAACTTAGAGAAGTACCGCTCGACCATATGGTCAGTGACGAGCTCCAATTTAGAAGGCTCCCACTGCATGAAGAACCAAGAGAAGAATCCAACGAAAATTAAAGCCTAAGTTGTAGGAATAGAGACATATTTGTATAATAAAAACACGTGCACAGCCAGATATATGTGTGTGCGCGCTCGTGTGAGTAAGTACATAAAAGGGATCCTACACCCAAAATTATTTGTCCTGTTGGCATTAGACCAAAATTTATAAGGCGTTTCAATGACTACACGTCCGAACTTGAAAAAGTCTGGATGAGCAGCTGAGATAATTTCTTTACACACATAAGTTATGTTGTCAAAAGCAAGCCCTCATTATAAGACAAGGGTCACTTTGTGGCAGCACAACCATCAATGTGGTACACGATTTAAACGTTCCATGTTTTAGGTTTCGAATAAAGGATAACAGCAAACAAGTTAATTTAAAATGTTTAAATATATTTGTTGATTATAATTAGATGATGATCCACTTTCACTATTTGTTGATTATTTGCACGGATGATATTTCAAGAGAAAAGTAATAAAATGTCATTTACCTTTGGGTTCTTGTCCTTGTCCAACAATAAAGCTCTGCAACCCTGCAATTAGAAGCAAAGCTAAAGTCACCCGAAAAAACAAAAAAACGTGGATAAACTATGTTGACAAGCTAACCTCTCTGAAGTCCTTGCTGACTTCTCCTTTCACCACATGCGAAACCATTCTATATTCACGAACAAGGCACTGACCAACTCCCTGAAGCCTTCCTTCTCTAATCTAAAATTGAAGGGAACACATTAATACCAAGCCCAAAAATTTTGCAATTCAATCTCATACAGCGCAATGTGTCTCAATGTTTGTCCTGAGCGTATTATAGAACTTCAATTCCAAGCTTTAGCCTTAGGTGATATTTGTGCGGAATACAAATACCTCATTTTCTGCCGAGAGAAAATGAAAAGAAATACCTAACTTGCAAGTACATATTTTTTTGCCCTTCATAACCGTGAGATTACATGTTCATGTGAGCCATAACTTTATATTTTACCTTACTATATTGAATTTCACCTTACTCCCTTCAAAGCATAACTTTATATTTCACCTTACTATATACAATTTACGACAAAGCATGAACTCATATTCTTAGAATATCGTTATGGAACCCTATCCCATCTGTCCTGTGCATAACAAGCAATATTTTTCTTGCCTGATATATGGAGAAAAAAACAATCTAATATCATACCAGATTCATACACAAACTTGATATATAATTTTGATATGCTAGAATTAACTAACTGCAACTTTAAGGCCTGCAGTAGACATACTGATCTCAAAGAAATCTTCAGACTCATTGGTGATGCCTTCGTTAGCGCTTGAACTGTTGAAGTTAACCAATCATCTGCCCTGTTGTTAGCCTCCTCATCCTCCTTCAATAGCAAATCATAGGTATGGTTAAGTAAATATACATGTTTAGTCTACGAGTATAACACTAAACAAAAACTATTTAAGTACCGAGCCAAAGGAGTATTAAACTTTCCAAAGATGCGAAACAGAGAACATCAAACCAGGCCTTCCAATATTTTAAATTCAAATCAACTTACAAGTGCAGATATAATTTCTTCTACAGTTCTTCTAGAAAAGCATTTGTCTATAACGTCCATCCTGTATTCAAAACAGCTCAAACATTACAAATAAATACTCCCAGCTTTTCATTTTTGATAATATATAACTGGTTCAACAACTGATGGGTCTAGTTGAACTAATAGACATCAATTTCTGGACTATGCAATGGATTTGTTAAATTTGACAAATGCAGAAAGATGTAGTGTAGCAACTTAAACATTTAATTGTTTGATGTGCTTCAACCATTAAAACAACGAATATTGTGGTGAACTGAGTAATGTAGTTGGTGTCCTAGGTTTTATAGAGTTCACGCTTCCACTATGAGGATCCATATTGTTATAAAATCTTGTGTGTTCCACTGGATATTCCATTGGAAGTAAAATAAGACCACACAGAACAGTGAATAAATTTAAGGGAAAGTTCAAAGCAACTGGTGCATGAGAACTTCAGTCCATTAAAAGAAAAGAAAAAAATCACAAAAAAAAAAAAAAAAAAAAAAAAAAAAAAAAATCCTAGAAGAAATAGTTAAAGAAAAAAGGAAAAGAAATACTAACCGGAAATAAGCACTTTTCTTTTTCAGAGCTGGACTCTGCGAGTATTTATCTATAATTGCTTGAATATTGGCAAAATCACTTGAATCAACTTTGTTTAAAGCTTCTTCTAACAAAGACAATCTCTGTCAATAAAGCAAAACACAGAATAAGCACTCAAGTTTAACATGCTGCTACTTGTTATGATTCTAACCAGCATAACTCCTTAACCAACCAGGTCATCTTCCTGTTAATTTTCAATTAGGCCCATTAGAATAGATAAATTATGACGATAATAAGAGGTGGCATACTATTGATGGAACAAAATGTGTGGCAAGACCACAAGCAAGCATTTCAGCACCATCCAATCTGGTACCTGTAAGACCAACATATTCTCCTGCAGTGCACATATTGGAGAAGGGACAATCAAAAATTGAGTACAAAAGATAGTAAAGAAGAGGAGTGCATGTCATAGTTGCCACTACTTCATACAAAAGCCAGTACAGGAAAAAAATAAATTATTTACTGAAGTCAAACAAATATGCAAACCAGAGACATAACAGATATTACCAAAGAATCCAGGAAGTCTGGACAAGTAATAAGAGGCACCTACATCCGGAAAAAGTCCCAAAGCAGTTTCGGGCATTGCAAAAACCTGCAAAAGATTAATCAGAAATACAAGGAATTAAGTTGTTACTACAAAGACAGATATCTTTGCAATTGGTCTCCCCAAACACAGTTAAAAATCTCGACCATTCGTTGGATACCAACAGCGATGCAATTATGCACAAATAACACACTAAGCAGATTCCTTGCTTTTCCATATATAAAACAACAGATCCCTCTTCTTTCCCAATAGAACGGTCAAACCATAGTCTAATATCATATACAAAACTTGGGATTTCATGCATCCCTTGGCCTGGTATAAAAATGGGAACTTATGTACCTTCCTTGCGTGCTTGTTCTTTAAAAGTCCCCCATTTAGCTCACAGCATCTTAGCTCTCCATAAATATAAAGAAATGCTACATTTTAATCTCTGGTAAGTGCAATATATGCCATAAATATTTTTCAACACAATCTCAGCATTCGCCTTAT